CCTATAATTCTGATGTTGGTACGCTTGAAGCTGTCCCAGAGGCTCCTTACACTATCTTCGTATTTTCGGATTCTTTTTTCATTTTGGTTTTCCGGTTGGGTGTTTTTTGCTTCTTCGCATTTCAAATCTTTGACTTGATTCTTGCGATCCTCTGGTCTGCTGTTGGGAGTCTGTATAATATTCTTTATTTCAGTCAGTGTATGCTTAATTTCTAGTTGGTTCTTTATCACAACATCAAGGGTCTCATTAGATTTCTTGAGGATCTCACTATATTTATCGGCAATTTTTAGAAAATTATTGAAAGACCTTAAAAGTGTGATTTTGAGCTCTATATCTTCCATTTCTGACCTTTACGTCCTGTTTCTTTGTCTCCGCATTTTTTTATGTTTTCGTGGTGCACCTCCTAGTGGTCTTTGTGCGCAGTCTTGTTGTAGTTAAGCCTTGATTGTTGTAGGTAATACTAGAGGGGATTTGAGTTCCAGACCAAGTGGCTGTGAGAATCAGTTGTGTCTGCAGTGAGAGAACTTCTGTCCTCTGGGGAGGTGCTAATCTAGCCTTTGCCTGAGGCTATCCCACAAATGTCTCTGTGCAGGGCTTGGGCAGGGCGGGTCCCAGGGGATCAACAGGGTGGGCTGAGCGAGCAGTTATGGCTGCTCTCAGTCCCGTCCTGGGGGCTCTGCCTCTCAGAGTCCCAGCAACTGCTGCAAACCTCGGAGAGAAAGCTGCCTTCGAGTTCCGACTGAAGCCAGACAGTCCCGCTTCTCCGGTTTGAGTCTGGGTCCCTAGAGACTCGCCCAGATCTGGAGCTCAGCACCTGAGACTCCCTCCCGATTGAAAACGACAACCGCGCCCTCCGCCGCCAGCCACCTCCGCACCTTAGTATTTGACTTCAGCACTGCGCCTCCTCTGAGTCTCGGTATGCTATTCTCTTTCCTCCTAGTTGTAGAACTTGCACTCAGCCAGCCTTCCTGTGGTTCTGGATGATGTCCGTTCCGTCTTTTAGTTATATTTTTGAAGTGGTTGTTCGAGGCAGCAAACTCCAGTGCTAACCTATGCCGCCATCTTGGTTCTCTCGGAGTTCTGAATCACAGCTTGGTCTTAGCTTGAGGCTGGCTTTAGGGGTGGGCAAACTTTTTGACTCGAGGGCCACAATGGGTTCTTAAACTGGACTCAGAAGAAGGAGCTGCGGCCGTGTTTCCCGACGTTGCCATGTTAACACTGCTGCTGGTGAAGGAGTGGAGGGGAGAGCAAGAGAACCCTCCGCTCTTTTGGCTCCGCGGGCCGATAGAACAGCCGAATGGGCTGGATCTGGCCCGTGGGCTGTAGTTTGCCCACAGCTGCTAGACCCAGGATGCCATCTCTCTTCTGAGAGTTCATGGAGCCAGAGGTACCAGGACAGAGAGGGGCCTGAGCCAGGAGGCCTCTCCCTGCTCTCTACTGGATTTTCTGGTCACTGGAACATTGGCAGCAGCCCCCATAGATGAGAGAGGAGGGGCTGGACAGAAGTGGGTCAGTGTGGGGATGAGATGAGGGGCAGGAAGGGACAGGGGGGCATTTTAGAGCCAGGGGACCCAGGATTCTAGAGAGTAGGACCCAGGATCTCTCTCTCCTGAACATGGGAGGTCACTGCCAGTGTGGGGAGCCTCTGGTTAAAGATGCTGAAGAATCAACAAAGGAGAGAAAACACCCAGTCCTGGCTTTGATGCTGTAACAGCAGAAGACGACCAGGGTGTGTGTGAGGCCCAGCCCCTGCCCCTGCCAGAAGACAGCTTGGGAAGAAGGGAGGGCACCAGGGACTCACCCAGGGACCAAAGGGTCAAAGTAGGGAGGAGGGGAGGGGGACTCCTGGCTCATGCTCCTCTCTCCTTCCCAGTGCCTATGGCTCCATAAACTCTCCAGGGTGCAGAGGGGACAGGCCAGAGTGGTCCTAGATGGGGCACAAAGGCAGCCAGGGCATTTCAAGCCTGCTGTCCCCGCCCAGGCCACAGTCCTGGGGCCTCACTTTCTGGCACCAAGCTTTCTTGCATTTCAGCCCTGGGCCAGACCGCGTTTCTGAGAAGCTGTATTTAATGGCAATATGACCTGGAACTTTTTGGTTCAGTTTGCCTGGCCTGCTGCTGCTCCTGCCTTATGGTGACCTTAGAATCCTCCCATGGACCTTGACCCTCACGACTGAGGCTGTGGAGCGGGTCTGGTCCCCCAGGAGACCATGACCGTGGCACTCTGGCATCACCGTCAGTCCTGTCAGAGACTCTGTGTGGCCACCATCCCTGCCTCTCTTCCTGCCGACTGGGATGTGGCTACTGGCAGTCAGCATTTTAGTTTCGCCATCTGGGAATGGTGATAGTGTCCCCACTTCACGCCCTGGCACCTTTTAAAGAAAGTGCAGTTGGTTACAATATTATATTCGTTTCAGGTGACTCTACTCCCCTTTGTCCCCACTCTTCTTGCCTTTGGCTCAGGCACTATATCCAGGTTCTATCAGCCCGGCCTTCTGCAAATAAGCCAGGGTTTCCAGCAAACCCAGGTCGTCATCACTCTGGACTCGTAGGTCACTAGCAAGAGCTGTGACGGCAGCCAGGAGCAGCGCCACTCCCTTCAGCCCGTGGGGCCGGTGTGTTTCCGGGCCACACAGAGAGAGAAGTGTGAGCAGCAGCGTGCCAAGTGGGAAGGTGTCCAGGAAGATTCCATTAACCATCTGGTCCTCCATTATCATGCAGCCCAGGGAGAAAGGCTGCAAGTTAGTTCCTGTTAGGTGACAACCCAGAAGTGAAATGATGCTGGCACTTTAGGCCAACGCCAGAGATCTGCGGACATGTACAAACAGATGTGGGCAGAGGCTGCCAGAGTAGCTGACGGTCCACTACCCATTCCTCCCTTTGGGCCCACACCATCCCCAGCACAGTCCCTGGCTGCCTCAGACTGCACCTCCTTACACACTCCTGCACACAGCAGATATAAGTGACCTCCAGGACACAAACAATGGTAAATGTAATAAGATAATTGAGTACTTATTACCTTTGTTTTTAATAGAATTAATTTCATTGTAAGTTTATGTAATTTGAGTTTTGGTAATGGCTGTTTAACACCAGAAAGTGTAGTGCCAGCCACAGCTGGTTCAGCACACCTGCTATGCCCAGGTCCCAGGGAAGGGCCTGGTAGCCCCCAGCTGCCAGGGCTTCTCCAGACCACTGCTCCCTGGCCTTTGCTCCAGCCTCCCTTCTTAGAGCTCATGCCATCAACATGTCCCCTCTTTCTTCTCTAGGACCCCCCACCCCCAGTGCCTTCAGCATCCAACTGGCCACCTCAGCTTTTCCTGTGAGTAACTAATTTCTCTCTTCCACTGTCCCCTAAGGTCTTTCACCCAGGACTCTACTTAACAAATATTAATATAGCAAAATCACAACACTCCACACCCCAGCTCAGGGCAGCCCCACGGGATGTTAGTTGGACTAAATGAAGATAGGGAGGTTATGCCACAGTGGAAAAACAACCTGAAAGATTTGGTTCTGAGAAGTGAGTATGTTCTGAACACCTTCCATGTGGTAGGTTGTTTTGGTCATGCTCCAGTCTTGTCAGTTTCCCTGTATCCTGTCCATCTGTATAGACCTTGGCCTTGGTCATGTGACCTGCTTTGGCCAGTGGGAGAGCAGTAACATGATGTGAGTGGAGACCTGAATAGCACTTGGGCTTGACCTCTCTTATGCAGTGGGGCTCTGAGACCACCCTGGGCACGAGCCCACGCTAGCTTGCTGGAGGATGAGACCGCCATGGGCACGAGCCCACGCTAGCTTGCTGGAGGATGAGACCGCCATGGGCACGAGCCCACGCTAGCTTGCTGGAGGATGAGAGGCCTCATGGAGAAGAACCCAGGACCCACCAACAGCCACCGCCAGCCACAAGTGAGGCCCTTGCCTGTCCTCTGACCACAGAGGCACGTCTGGGTTCGGCCAAGCCCAACTGCCGATCTGAGCCCAGGCTCCACTGCTGACCCACACAATTATAAAGCTGGTCAATTGTTTTTAGCCACTAAGTTTTGGGGGCAGTTTATGTGCAAAAGTGAATGGAATCACTCCTAGCACAACTTAGCACTGACGGTGTCTGAAGAGGTGAAGATAGGTAGCCCTCCCCCCGACCCCCCACCTATCGGCACACTGGAGGGAGCAGGAAGAGCCCCCAGAGCCAGGCAGGGCAGGAGGCATGGGGAGCATTCACCTTGCACACAAAATGAACTGGGGTGCCTGCAAACTCAGCAGTCAAGTTAAATATTTTAATGCACTATTAAAAAAAAAAAATCAAATCAGTAAACTCTGGCCGTGGGCTGGCTGCCTATTTTTATAATAAAAGTTTTATTGGAACTGGGGCTTGGATTAGGGTTTGGCAAAACGAGGTAGGGTCATACAGGTGCAGGGTCACATCTTGTTTTTATTTAAAAGTTTAATATTTTGTCATGGATTTTTTTTTTTATTGCTTAAAGTATTACAAAGGGTATTACATATGTGTCCTTTTTCCCCCCCGCCCTTGACAGTCCCCTAGCCTCCCCTACCCGCCAGTGTCTTGTGTCCATTGGTTATGCTTGTATGCATGCATACAAGTCCTTCGGTTGATCTCTTACCCCCCTCCCTCCTGCCCCCCCAACCCTCCCCGGCCTTCCCGCTGCAGTTTGACAATCTGTTTGAGGCAGCTCTGCCTCTATATCTATTATTGTTCAAAAGTTTATAATGGTCTCTATTATCCATGAATGAGTGAGATCATGTGGTATTTTTCCTTCATTGACTGGCTTATTTCACTTAGCATAATGCTTGTCATGGATTTTTTTGTATCATTCTTATTTATTTGTGCATTTGTTTTTTATTTTTATTTATTTTTTTAAAAATATATTTTATTATTTTCTTAGAGAGAGGAAGGGAGAGAGAGAGAGAGTTAGAAACATCGATGAGAGAGAAATATCGATCAGCTGCCTCCTGCACACCTCCTACTGGGGATGTGCCCGCAACCAAGGTACATGCCCTTGACCGGAATCGAACCTGGGACCTTTCAGTCTGCAGGCCGACGCTCTATCCACTGAGCCAAACCGGTTACGGCTGTGCATTTGTTTTTTATTTAGCTATTTTGATTTGGGCTAAATCCTTCCCAATTTGCTGAGTGACCCCTGGTATCTGACTGGATCTCAAATCTCTACCTGTTATAGTCTCACCCAGGATTATAACAGAAGCTATTTCTGTCTGCTCTGAATGAAGCAAATGAGATCAATCCCTGCTCAGGAGACATTAGGGGCCAGTAGCCGGCCTTCCTGAATGCTGAGGAGTACGTTGCTGATATTTTACAGTCTCCTCTGGCTGTCAGCCTTGGTGGGAGGTGTGTGTCTGTATGAGGACTCTCCGGGTGTGGCTCAGCGGCTGGTCACTATTTACTTTCCCAGAAGAACCAGCCAGCCACACCTATGAGCTTAGTGTAGTTTGACCTGAGTAGGATACTCCCCTCATCTCTAAAAGACAATCTCTTATTTTCTCGAAATGGCCAGACATTTACAAATCAGACTTTAGCTCATCCGAAGGGAGGGAGTAACAGCCTTCACCCCGGGGGGACACTGGGCGGAAAGGATGACTCCCACTCCCTTGGGGCTGCTGGAGTCAGCAGCTCCCACTGGAAGGCGGGGAAAGGCCGTGCCAGTCGGTGGCACCCCAGGAATCTGAGCGGGTGGATTCACTGGGGAGAGCGGGAAAGATGTTTTCCATTGCGTGCAACGGTTCACCACAAAGTGATTCCACTTCCAGGACTCAGTCTGGGCTTTTCCGGTCTGCTCATATCAACAACACCTGAGATAAGCATTTGTGTTTTCTCTTTCTGTCTCCTCAGGTCAAGTCCAAAGTCCAGAGAACGCCCGGAGGGTGGCATTCCTGAGAAGGCAGGAGTGTTCTCCACGGCTTCTTCCCCAGGAAGAGGGGCTCACACATTTCCAGAGACTCGAGATGTGGCTGTGGGGCCAGCCACACTACCCCGAAGTTCTATCATGCCCAGCCTGTGCCACTGCCAAGAACTCACGAGATTAACCCAGGGTCCCGACTGCTGACAAGTTTGTAGTCACCTCATGGGTCACCTGGCCTCTTGTCTGCTCCCCCGAGGAGTCAGACGGTCACTGAAAAATGCAATGCTTATCCTTTACTTACGTCCAGTGAGACAACAATGTCCCCACTAAAGGGCCTGGCCAGGGCAGATGGAGAGCCTGGGGGGAACACGTGATTGTATTCACACACACACACACCATCTAACTACTGACAAATTTATTTCAATATTTCTATTTTAGGAGAGGTCAGACCCTGCTCTTAGCTTGGGTACCATTTCCCATACCCGGCCTTGCTGGCTCTGCAGGGGAATTTCCTTCCTTTGTCCTAATATGTGAGCTCTGATGTCACAGGGCCTTCCCGGTGGGAAGCTGTCACATTGCTAGTGGAACCGTTTGTGGTTCTGGTCTTAGAGGTAAGGAGACAGGCCAACTGGCCAACCCTTGGAGCCTTCAAACGGCGTGTGCAGAAGCACAGGGCTTCTCTGGATCAGCCACCTTCCGAGTCCCAGATGGGAACAAACCTATTCTTACCAGGTTTTAGAAGAGGAGGAGAATATCAAGTCTGCTGGTCAGGCATATGGCTTGGGAATGAATTTCTCTGAGTCTAAATTGCTGCTGTTTCCTTGTAGTTGGTCCGGGTGAGGACAGCCAGTTTCTGCCAAGGCCACGGCCTGGCTCCAGCTGGGTCCCAGGCGCCTCCACACAAGCTCCGAGGTGGACCTGCTCACTGATCTGACTCGTGCTGTCTACCCAGTGATGTGCCTGCGAAGCCCTCTCCTCTGTGTGAGCAGGACGACCAGGGAAGGACGACAGGACCTCCCCAGCCCTCCTCGTCTGGCTGAGCCAGGAGCAGAAAAGGAGCCTGGGTCACGGGGCTGTGGGAGGCCTGCTTTTGGGCTGGCTGGAGAGCCGTCCTCCCCTCAGTTCCCCAAGCTACAGCGGCTCATAGACAACTGTCTCTTCACATCTGTCATCTGCGGATGCTGGCGGGCGGAGCCGGGAAGCTGGCTGGTCCTGCAGAGGCTCGGTGAGCTGGGAAGAAACCAGCCTCACTTCCTGAGAGACTGGCTGCCTGGAGGAGAACGCCAGAGCGAGCTGCCAGCACCAGTCCGTACAGAGCCCCTCTGTCCCAGACAAGTCCCTCTTTCAACTGACTCTGCGCAAACAAAATAGAGGCCTTCCTCCCGCTCACCTGCTCTGCGGCCGGGGCATGACTTGCTTGGCCACACTCTTTCCTCCCAGGAAGCAGGCTGCAGGCTGCTCGGTGTGGGGGCTCAGTGAGTTTTGCTGGTAAACACTCATGTGTTTGCTGAGGTCACAGGTCATAAATCTCACTGCTCACTGAGCTCTCCACACCGGCCAGCCCATCAGCTACATGTTGTTCTCACGTAACATCCGTAACCTCCGCAGGGCTCCTGGCTGGTGCAGCCTGGCTGGGCAGGTTAGAGGCCTGCCTGCCTCTCCTGGCTGGGCTGCCCAGCATTGGCTGGTGCTTCCTCTGTGAGGAAGCAGCCTGACCTGCCCCTCGGGTGGGGAGAGGGGCTGGGGCTCTGCGGTGTGTTCCCAGCAGACAGGCTTCCCAGTCGTGGCCCCTGAACCACAGAACCAGTTGGCCAGAGGGCCCAGGGCCACGTCAGGAAGGCTGTGGGGCGGGGAGGGCTGGAGCAGAGCAGTCACAGGAATGAGCGTGTCCTGAGGGTGCCTGGCTTTGAGCTGCCTGATATTCTTTTGTTCTGCTCCTCTTCTGTTTTCCCTTATTTTCAGTAAAGCTCTTTAGAAAGGTCCAGGCTCAGTTGGGGAGCTGGGGTGTGTATGTATGTGTGTGTGTGTGTGTGTGTGTGTGTGTGTGTGTGTGTGCAGTCACTGGCCAAGGCTGGGAGGGAGCAGAGAGAGGGAAACGTGGTCTTTACAGTGAGCACAGGGCAGGAGGGGGGATCCCAGGGACAGTCCCTCAGTCCCTCCCCAGGCCTGTCTTCCAGGAGGCTGGCTGCCTCCCACCAGAGGCAGGTCCGGGTTTCAGGCTGAGCACAGGAAGCCCCCAGCGGGGATCTGATCTCTGAGAGGCGTGGCCTGGAGGGTCTCACTCCATTAGCTTGTGCATGAGCCCCTCAGGCCAAAGGCAGTTTCTTAAATGGAGAGACCAATGCAAAACAGGTCCTGCGGGCAGGGCCCTTCTCCATGGGAAAGGAGACCCTCACAGGGAGGACTTACTCTGCAGGCCCCTCGTGGAGGACGACGCAGTGGAGGACGCAGTGTAGCTAGGCCGGCTGGCCTGCTGGGGGCCACGTGAGAACTGAGGGGCCAGGGCTGACGCCTTGGCCTTGGGTGGGTTCAGGTCCAGGATCTCCGGGGTACAGGGGGTCCGGGGCTTGCAGGCAAAGGCTGACGAAAATTCCCTAGAACGAAATGTGCAAGCCAGAGCCAAAGTTACTGCTGGTGGGGAGTCTCAGGAGGAAGGACTCCCGCTCTGAACATAGAAGCCAGGCGGGCAGTGCCCTGGATATGGGGTGGGGGTGGGTAGAGCAGGGCACCCAGAGGCTTAAGTCCCCGTCCCCTTGGAGCTCACATTCTAGGGGAGGAGATAATGAAAAGAAATACATGCTCAGGAGGAGATAAGCGGGGAATGGGGAGCCGGGGAGAGAATGAAGTGTGAGGGAAGGTGTGGTTGGCAGAAAAGTGGTAGCAAAGATGTCCAGGCCGAATCCCTGGATGTCACATGACAAATGGGAATTGAGTTTGCTAATCTGTTGACTTTAAAATAGGGAGTTACCCTGGGCTTTTGGGGTGGGCCAAAAACCACAGGGGTACATAAAAGTGGGAGAGAGAAGTCAGGGAAAAGGTATGACCATGGAGAAAGGGACGGAGATGCTGAAGGTGGAGGAGGGGCCACGAGCCAGAGCGGACAGGAGCCAGAACAGGCAGAAAAGAGAATCTCCCTGAGAACTGCAGAAAGGAGCCTGTCCTGTGGACATCTTGATTGCAGCCCAGTGAGATCTATCTGGGTCGGGCTTCTAGCCCACAGAACTGTAAGATAATAAATGCGTGGTGTTCAGGTCACTACATCTGTGGCAATTTGTTATAGGAACAACAGAAAGCAAATTTTAGATAGGATGATCAGGGACAGCCTCTCTGAGAAGGTAACCTTTAACGATCCTGTGAGGCAGGCATTACTACCCCATTTTTCAGATGTAGAAACTGAGGCTCCAAGGTCACACACATAACAAGCAGTGGGGAGGCCAAGATCTGAACCCAGTGGGGCCTAAGACCCGGACGTTCTCCAGACGCCCTCTGGGTCCCAGCCTGATGGACCGGCTGTGCGGACTGTTGGCCAGTCTTGGAATGGAGTCTTCCTTCCCTCCAGCCCACAGCCACTGCCACTCCGTGCTGTGAGAGAAGAAGTCTTGGGAGTGGGACCCTGCCTCTGTGACCTCCCAGCTACATGGCTGGGGTTGGGATACGATTCCCCCACCCAGCCCTTTGCTCTTTGGCTGTCATTGACCTGAATACACGCTCACCTCTTGCTCCCACCTTGAATTCTGTGGCCCTTGCTATCTATGTGCCCATTTTCCTGACTATAACTCTGAAGGCTAGAGTCCCAGGCTGTCACCCAGGGTTGTTGTCACCGTTGAATAAGCAGCTCCCAGCATGCAACAGAGGCTCAGAAACTGCAGGTCCATTTTTCCTACTCTACGTGGACGCCTCCGGCTGGGGGCTGCACACAGTTGGCACAGGGCAGGCAGCTGTGGAGCTTGGCAGGTGAGGGTGCCCAGGCCAGAACAGGGAGATGATGACATTTTTACATGCCTCCCTCCCTTTTTATTTTTACATTGAGAATATGTTACTTTAATAATCAGAAAACTTAAATATCTCAAAGTCTCCAAATTCAAATTTAGGAAAAGATTGGCATGAAGACTGCCCATAGTTCAGGCAAGAAATCTTCCACACCAGGCTGAAGAGGAGAGGGGCGATTTAGCCCTACTATGTTTTTTAGACTTTAAGATAATTTTTTCTTTCAAAAGAAAATTTACTTTTATATTATCCTTCATGTTACTCCCCGAATATTTCCCACAGCATACCATTCCCACTGGTGCATGTTTTCACAGAGCTGTAGTCACACTTCTATGCTATTCTGTATTACTCCAGTTTGGGGCCTTATTCCATTCTCTCTCCATGGGTCTGAGTAGCCTCTATCATAATTATTTTCATAATTATCTCCAAGGTCCACCATTTCTTACTTCTTTTCAGTCGGGTCAAGTTTCTAAACTTTCTAAATCTCTGTTTTCCAGCTAATGAAAAGAAAATAGGATTCCATTGAGTCTCCTATCTACCTACTCCAGGACTTCTGTGAGGATCAAATGAGATGAGGCACAGGAAAACACTTCACAGACATTTGGCTAAAGTGTGAAATGTTTCCACCTGGCTATAAAGCAAGTTGCGTACCTGGGCTGAAGAAACTGCAAGTAGGCTAGTCATCACTAGGGAGAGGAAGCCAGGCATTGGTACGTGATGTCGTTACCTGGACAGACACTTAGCATATTAGCCTTTTATATGTATAGACTAGTGGTCCAGTGCAGGAATTCATGCACATTGAAAGGAAATTAATTAGAAGAAATATTTTAATATTGCTATTCACCCTTTCTCTATAATAGAAGTGTCAACCAAATTCACGATGGACAATGACAGCTCGAAACACACACGTGTGATTGGTGCCAGCGAGAGCTTTATATGTATCGCACATGTACGAGTCAACTTAGCTATATATATATATATTAAACTTGCTTAATTAGACCTGCTTTCTGTTCAGGTAATTGTCAGCAACACAGCAGTAAATATCAACACGAAGCAGATTATTATTGTAGATCATGCAGGGAGAACAAAGGGTAAAGTATTTAACTGCAGCAGTGTTTGACTATATTCTGCACAGTGAGAAAACCTGAAGTTATTTTCAAGGTCCACCATTTCTTACTTCTTTTCAGTCGGGTCAAGTTTCTAAACTTTCTAAATCTCCATTTTCTGGCTAATGAAAAGAAAATAGGATTCTACTGAGTCTCGTATCTACCTACTCCAGGACTTCTGTGAGGATCAAATGAGATGAGGCACGGAAAAACGCTTCACAGATATTTGGTTACAGTGTGAAATGTTTCCACCTGGCTATAAGCAAGTCGTATTCCTGGGCTGAAGAAACTGCAAGAAGGCTAGTTGCTAGGGAGAGGAAGCCGGGTGTTGCTATGTGATGCCATTACCTGGACAGACACTTAGCATATTAGCCTTTTATATATAGATGGCCTGTCGCTAGGGAATGAAAGCTGGGCATTGCCACATGACATCATTACTTGGCGCCACAGCCACTGTTTCTGGACTGGGCTGGGCAGTGGGTTGTATTTTGCCCCATGGGGTCTCAGTAGCATTGGCTGTGATTTGGTGGGCTGCTGCTCTGGGGTGGTGGCGGGGCCTGTGTCCCACTTGGGGGAAGCCAAGTGTTGCTTTGTGGGCACCAGGCCCATGGTGACATTTCTCTGTGCACGTCACAGCAGCTCCTGCATTGAGCATCTGCCCCCTGGTAGTCAGTGTGCATCATAGAGACCGGTCAGATGGTGGGAGGGACACTTAGCATATTAGCCTTTTATATAGATAGATGGTTGTGAGCCTTTTTATCTGATTGATGTACTGTAATTCATTAAGCCTCTTCCCTGATGGTTTGCTTTCCTTTCATTCGTTGCTAATGCGTGTGTGCTAAGAGCTGTGCTGGGTGCTGGGGATGAAAGATCAACCAGGCCCGGTTCCTGCTCCTGGGAGTTCACGGAGCCTGTTTGATCCATGAGCAAAGACTGTAAGACAGTGAGACCAGTTGCATCGCTGATGCTTTCTTACCCACTATTATTTGACTCAAATGAGTTTTTTTTCCTGTTTAGCTATTTTAATACTTTTATCATTGTTTTAGCAGTTATTTTTAAGTTGTGGTGATAACCCTCATGACCATTTTTATTTTTATTTTTTTAAAATATATTTTATTGATTTTTTACAGAGAGGAAGAGAGAGAGATAGAGAGTTAGAAACATCGATGAGAGAGAAACATCGATCAGCTGCCTCCTGCACATCCCCACTGGGGAAGTGCCCACAACCCAGGTACATGCCCTTGACCGGAATCGAACCCGGGACCTTTCAGTCCGCAGGCCGACGCTCTATCCACTGAGCCAAACCAGTTTCGGCTATGACCATTTTTAAATGTAGCCCTACTACATTTTAAGAAGAAACAACTGAGAGAAACTATTAAAAACAACCAGGTAAACATTGGAAGCTATTCCAGGTAGTGGGAATGGCAGAGGGTTAGCCTGAGTTGCCTGGGATGTCCCATCACGTGGTCACAGGCCAGGGAGGGTCATCCTGGGTCACAGGAGCTAGCTATGCAGACTCAGGATGGCTGGCCAGCTTTGCCAAATGGGGCCTTGAAGCTGATGGGCAGTAATGTCAAGTTTGCAGGGTTGGGGGCAGCTGAAGTGAGCTGGCAAGAAGTAAAGAGAGAGCAGCAGGGCTCAGGACTCTATAATCTCCCCATCCCAGGGCAACCAGAAAAGGGCCCTAGCCTTTAGCTGAGCAATTTGGTAATGTGTATCAAAACCTTTTGTGTGGGTTAATTTTATGTGTCAACCTGTCTGGGCCATGGTACCCCGATAGTTATTCAAACGTTATTTCTGAATGTTTCTGTGCAGGTGTTTTTGGATGAGATTAAGTGCCGGGAGCCAGTCCATCCTTGCTGTTTCAAGGGACCTGGCATATATGGCATACTGTTCTTAATATGTTTGCTCACCTTCTTGGCACTACGTGTTTTAACCAAGGTCACCTCTCTGAGAAAGGCTGTTTCCCAAGGTAGGGATTTTCCCCTGAAGTTAGGGAGGGAATAAAACCCCTTAACTAAGTGCCAGGCGGGTAATTAATCACTTTAACTACAAACAATCATGCTTAAGCTACATAATCTTTACTCCCTGGAATGGAGATAAGAAACGCCCTAACCTTTGGAATAGAGACTGATAGGATTGGAATCAACTGGTATAAATGCAGATGTAACAAGACAACGGGACGCAGAACCTAGACACAGAACCTAGACACAGAACCTACACAGAACCTAGAGACAGAAGAACTTCGCTGGAGAGAACATGGCAAAAGATCCTGGACTGAACCTGACTACAGAAATTGGCTAGAGAACCTGACTAGAACCTGGTGACTGAACCTGGCTGGAGAACCTGGGCAGAACCTGGCTGGAGAACCTAGCAAGAGAACATGGACACAGAACCTGGCTGGAGATCCTAACCAGAACTTTGCTGGAGATCCTGACCAGAACTTGGCTAGAGATCCTGGCTAGGCTGCTGATCAACTGAACGCTGTCTCTGTGTCATTC